ATTTTGGACATGTTACCAGCTCCTCTGAACCGTTGTTGACCTGTGAGATGTGGAAATGATGCCTCATTTGGAGGGTGAAATTGGAAACCATATGTGGTAGACACTCATTCATCCCTCCTGTGGGTGTCTGTGGTCACCTGCTGTCACTCGTGACCGCACAGCGCACACCCTCCCCTAGGCTGACTCTGCTGCAGCTGTAGGTGCGGTCCCTGGTTTTCAGCAGGGATGCAGCTGGGGGCCCGGGGACCAGCCTCCCTGGGGTTGCTCTGGGCAGCTGTGACCAAGAGGGGCTGAGAGAGCTGTCCGATTCCTCTGGGGCCCCTGACAGGGGTGTCCTGGAAGTCACATGTCCTCAGAGATGCCTATGTGCCTGGGTGCCAGGGGGCTCCTCTAACTGCAAAGTGGATGGGAAGCCTCTGGGATCACAGGAGGGTGTGGAATAATCAGAGCACATCAAAGTCCGACCACTGATTGCACAGCATCAGAGATGAAACCACAACCCCTCAGTGTGCACAGGGAAACAGATACCCAGAGAGGGTGTAAGGTGCGTCTGGAGCCACGCAGCATGTTAGCGACAGGGCTAAGATTGGGACGCAGAGTTCCAGACCTGCAGTCCAGAGTATATCCATCCTCTCGCTCCTCAGAGGAGACGACTGTGGCCAGTGAACTTGGAAGCAGGACCATGTACAGCGTGGAGGATGGGAAACAATGTGGCTGCCCGGTCAGCCCCACCCTTTGTCAAGCGCTAGGGCACTCGCAGTGACGGAGGCCTGCGGTTAGGATGGCGGGCCCTCCCCAAGGGACCAGGGAAGGACTGGCCCTGAGGAGCGACTCAATTTTCTTCCTTCATTCCCCGCCCTCACCCCTCACACTCACTGCGTCCCTGTCATGTGCCGGGACCAGTGCTGGGCCCTCAACGATTTATGCTTGCCTGACCCCTCTTCCTGCACGAAAAGAACCCAAGAGTCCCCCCAGGCTGGGCTTCTAAGAGCTGGGGTGGGTGTGGACTTGTGGGACTGGCCCCCAGTTGTGGGGGCTAGTTTAGAACCCCAAAATCTATGTTCCACTGGAGAGTGGTCAGGCAAATAGGGGGTGAGAGACATCCCACCCAAAAAAGCAGAGGGACCTCCCCGAGGGAGGAGACGTGGGGCCACCAGAGCAGGGCAGCAATGGATGGGGCAGAGGGGTGGGGGAGGGCTGGGCCAGCTAAGGGCCAGGGGGGCTTCAGTAATATCCGCCAGCATCATGAGTGGGTGGGCACTTGAGCATGGATTAGGGGCAGGGTCATGGTGTCTTACTGTTCTCCTAAAGGGAAAGGGGGGCAGAGGGGAGCAAAGGAGAGGGATGCTATACACCAGGGGTCCCCAAACCCTCTATCTCCACCCTTTCATTGTGGAAAAAACAATGTGAACGTTTGCCATCTTAACCATTTGTAATGTACAGTCAGTAGTGTCGGTACCTTCCCCTTGTTGTGCACCAGCTCTCTAGAATTTGTTTTCACCTCACAACACGGAAACGACACTCGTTAAATACTAACCCCCTTCTGCCGCCTCCAGACCATGGCAGCCGCCTCTCCACTTGGTTACAGAGATCTTGACGACTGTAGAGATTCCATACGGTGGAACCGTGCATGTCTGTCCTTTTCCCTAACACCATTTTATCTGTGCCTCACAGCGTCCCGTCAGTAACATCTCCAGTTGTACACACACACACACACACACACACACACACACAAAGCAGAGGGAGAGGCGACTGCAGCTGCTCATGCAGCCGAATCTTCAGGGGGGACACATGATTTCAGTGGGGAAAAAGCCCTCCAGGAATTCTAATACTGCCCCCTTCTCCCGAGAACACGTCCTCCTGGCTGAGTCACCGCTGCGGACGGGAAGAGGGTCCCCCAAAAGCACAGGAGGCAGAGCAGCAGTCAGGCACAAGATTTATTGAGCACTCGTGGTGCGCAGACTACTGGCTAAACCCTGGAGGGAGTACAGTGGAGGCTTCGAAGCTACCATCACTGGCCTCGCCAAGATTACAGGGTCACGGACTGGAGGGCACACAGGTTAAGCGAACACGGACACGTGACATCGGCGGCCACACAGCTGCGAGTTTGTAGTGAGCGGTGACGCAGTAACAGGGGCACAAGCAGCCACGGGACACATGGTTTAAAAGGATCAAAGATGCACTCAAGTCGTAACTTACCATTCGGGTGGGGAGTGGGAGCTACCAGAAGACACTAGAGAATCCCAGAAGCTAGGTGAATCTATTTTCTTAACTCTATTTTATTGCCCATTCAAATTGGTAATCCACTTTGGCATGAAATAAAGACAGCTAACTTGCCCTGCTGGCATAGCTCAGTGGATTGAGTGCGGGTCTGCGAACCACATGATCATGGTTCGATTCCCAGTCAGGGCACATGCCTGGGTTGCAGGCCAGTTCCCAGCAGGGGACTCAAGAGAGGCAACCACACATTGATATTTCTCTCCTTCCTTCTCTCCTTCCCTTCCTCTCTAAAGATAAATAAATTTTTAAAAAATCTTAAAAAAAAGACAGTTAACAAAATACTTTATGTTTTAATACATGTTAAAATATTGGAATACTTTATGTTTTAAAATTTTTTTAAGAGTAAAATTAGCCTGTTGATAGTACCATTCCCAAAGGTCAGGCAGAGATTCCAAAAGTTAATTTCCGTTTTCTTTGTTCTTTTTTAAAGCTTTCTTTATGTAAAAGACTTTCCAAGAAATTTAGTGAAGAGAGGTATTTTATTGGTCTATATTTGAGAAATTTTGTTTATATTTTTATGTGATTCAAAAATTATTTTATATGAATGTATTTACTGCATGGGATATTAGTAAGCATACTAAAATTGATTTGTTGTTTATCTGAAGTTAGAATTTAACCAGCTATCTAGTATTTTTATCTGATAAATCTGACAACTTATTCTTAGGGCTATTATACCTTTACAGCTTTGGAACTTACAGAAATTCCCAAGAACGCGCTGGGGAGGACAGCTCATTTATCTTCATTTATATGCTAACACTGTCAGAAGGGAGAGCTCCTTCCTTTAGCAGAAAAATATGTAGACTTTGTAAGACTTGCTCAAATATTGGAGACATTTTCAATTTCTCTTACCTTTTATCATTACCCTTTAGCAGTGCATATTTTAGTCAGCTGAATTTTTACTTTGAAATCTTTGAGATGATGGCTTATAAGTATCCACACTATATTGCAGCCTGAAGAATAGAAAGACTGACATCGGACTTGAAAAGTCTATGATAAGTAGTCACATCCTCAAATTTCTTTTCCTTTAGTATGTTACCATCCTCCCAGCTAAAACAAATGGTAACACTCTCATCTTCCTAAATTATGCAGGGTCCCTTCGCCCATTCATCATCACCTCTCAGCAGCCTTCGCCCCTTTCTCTCTTCTGTTTTGTTTTGTGGTTTTTTTTTTCCTATAATAGAGACCACTGGCCAGGCTTGGGTCATGGATAGCTATAGCCCCATGGAAACAAGAACAAGCAAAGCTCAACTGTCAGATGCTTGGAGCCATGGAAGCTAGAGCTTACTTTGTGGGGATTTTGTTTGTTTTTTTACCTCCAGAACTGGCACGTAAAGCTGCTTTATGTCTGTGTTAATTTATTTAAGCAGACAGGACAAGGATGCCCACTCCCCGGCCCCCAAGAGAGAAGTACTGTGACAGAGTGGACTGACACATTCTATGCTAGAAGTGCATTTCTTGCTATCTAAATGCGTAGCTTACATCTTATTTTAAATTGAGATTTCTTATTGGAGGAGAGAGATTTCAAAGCTGACTTTGCAAAGAAAAGTTCACATGAAACTTCAACTGTTGTAAAGAAATATCATAGTGTAACACTTGCTGAATTCCAACATCTAATCACTTTTCTTTTTTTTTAAAACACACCAAAGACTATAGACTTATATATGAAGGATATATACGTTCGGCTTACACATGCACATAAAATCCGTACAGTTATTGGCAAGTACATGGATTGTATTTAAAGGCATAGACATCTTTGACATTCAAAAGCTGTTGAGCCCAGACAGGCTCTGTTCCGGGCCCGACTGCGCATGCGCCCATCCTTAGCCTCCAGATACGCAGGGGTTACAACTCTCCTTTGTACCTGGAGGTCTTTCTGGAAAAGAGGAAGTGCTGGATGAGCCTGAAAAATTAATTTGAGGCAAAGAAGCCATGGGGCTTAATATCACCATGTAAAAGTGGAGTTAAGCAACAGATATCATTAAGGTAGAAAAAAATTTCTGTGCACCTTCTGGCACTTACTGTTCCTTATACAGAAGTAGGGTACCATTTGATCCAGCTATTTGCCTTATATCCTCTGTAATTTTTAGAAATATAAATTCCAAATTCTGTCACTGAGACAGTTCCTTATGCTATTCTGATGCCGGCAGGCATGTCTGTCTCTGAATGCCCTTGACCAATCTCAAGAAGATAAAAGTCAAGCTGTTCTCTCACTACAGAAAGAGCCAGAAGCGGGGCTGCTTCCTCTTCCCTTTTGTGGGCACAGTGTGTGTGTGTGGCGGAGGGGGGGCTACAGAATGTACACAAGCGACAGACGTCCCCGGGGCAAAGCAGCCCACAGCTAATTCAGGGCTTCGCGTGGAAAGTGCGTCACTATGGAACGAGAGCTCCTCAGAGAGTCTAGAACCTGCTAGAGCTCGGTACATTCCACGTCCCCAATGGGGCATGCGCTTGGCAAGTACATCTGCAGCATGGACCCCAGCGGACGCCCATCTCAGGCCTGCGGAGGTCTGCCTGACGGTGGACGTCCCCAGAAATGTCCTACCTTGAACGGCCTGGATACCGAGTCCTGGCCCCATCCCGACAGCGCTGCCTTGGACCCGGACGAAGGATGAGACACGGCCAGTGGAGAGTTCGCACAGCAAATGGAGCCTTTCTCCTTCCCCAAATCTCACCTCCCGTTCTGCCTCCTCCTTCCTCCGGCCCTGCAGGGCGGCGCCCGCTCACTGGGCCGGGGCGGAGGCCCCCACGTGGCTGTACGAGTACCGGGACAGCGAGGCTTCCGTGGTCCGGCCCTCCTCCTCCTCCCCCGCCTCTGCTCTGGCGCCCGGCCGGCCCGGGTGGGGGCAGCAGCGGAAGGTGGCCATGAAGCCGAGGCGGAACCGTTTGTTCATGAAGCAGTAGATGATGGGGTTGACGCAGGACGAGGTGTAGGACAGCAGCAGGATGAAGGAAATGGGCGTCCCCGACAGGTGGCGCTCGGCGGAGGCGGTGTCGTAGGCGCGCCAGGCGTTGGCGCTGAAGATGGGCATCCAGCAGAGGAAGAAGAGAACCACGATGACGATAAGCATGCGGATCACCCGCTTCTTGGCCATCAGGTTGGCCGCGGAGCTGCTGCTCCGGATGCGGCTGACTCGGCCGCCGCTGCCCGAGAGCCGTTGAAGCTCCAGAGTCCGCGCGTGCGCCCGCGCAGGTTTGGCCTTCTGCAGGTAACATCCGTCGCTGTCCTCATATCGACCGCTGCTCGCTTTCCTCTCTGCATGGACAAGTGACATCACTTACTGTTCAGGATGGGCCGGGCTAGACAGGAGGCACTGAGCACCACCCCCTTCCTCCAGGGGGCCAACCCCAACCTGATCTGAAAAACGGGGCAGGCTTCCTTGGGCCTACAGTGCGGGTATCTGACCTATACTACTTTTCCCCGGGAAGTGAAAAGCTACTTATGGAGAGCATTACGCTAAGTGAAATAAGCCAGGCGGTGAAAAACAAGTACCATATGATCTCACCTATAAATGGAACATAATGAACAAAACAAACAAGAAAGCAAAATAGAACCAGAGACATTGAAATAAAGAACAGATTGACAGTAACCAGATGGGAGGGGGGAGGGGATAAGGGGAAAAAGGGGAAGAGTCATCAAGGGACATATATAAAGGGCCCATGGACAAAGCCAAAGCATCAAGGGTAGAATCGAGGGTGGGAGGTGGGGATGGATGGGGCAGGGTGGATGGAGAGAGGTGGGGGAAATGGAGATAACTGTACTTGAACAACAAAAAAAAGTAAAGCTACTTAAAACTAACAAAGAAACTAACAAAAATCATGCAACATAGCACTTGATGTCTGCATAGATTATAAGGATAAAAAGTGATTAAGGAACGAATGTTCACACTTGGTTCCTCCCCCCCCCCCCAGCTTCCTAGTGGAAAGTTCACCGCTCACTTGGTAGAGCCTCCAGACCGCCTTTCCTATGCACAGGGCGAAGAGTGAAGTGAGAGGTGGAGTGAGAAAGGGAAGAAGTTGCCTCCGCGGAAGTGCTGGGGTAACTTTTAGCAGACAGTGGACTGGAATGAACAGGGCTGAGGTCAGGCTTTGTGACAACTGCGGTGCGACAATGGAGGGAGGAGACCAGCCGGGGGATGGGAGTTAACAATTAGCTGGGCTGCCAAGGGGGTCCATTTGAATACAGCACCACAGAAAGTCTGGGCCAAAGGGGTCCTCGCTTCCAGCTGGGGGTTTGTGTGTCGCATCTCATTTTATTCCACTTGGCGCCCTTATGAGGGGAGTGACTGCTGCACTGCACAAATGCAGAAATAGAGACACCTGGTCTCACGACCGTGCGTTATGGCACAGCCTGACCGTCCTTTTGAAAATCCCAGCGTACTGTGGGTGTATCTAGTTAAGCTGCAGGAAACAAGCTGTTGGATCTTTTGGCATCAACAGACTGCTAACAGATAGTTACCTCTCGCAGACTTCTGGCTAGCATCAAATTTTATTCCTTGGTAAAGTTCCAAGGAGATTAATCCATATGCCGCCATCATCACAATTCCAGGAATAAGAAAGAGGATGAGTAACAGGAACGTGTGCCTAACAAAATAAAGAGAAATCCAATAACCAGCAACCTACTATTTCAAACTCAGATGGGATGGAAGAAGCAGGGTTCATCTCCATCATAACTAGTCTGAGCAAACAGTGATCATTAGCATGTAATATCCTTGGAAATTCATGTCATTCATTAGAAGCTATTTACTTTTTTTCTCATATAAAATGTCTTATGAAGGACTAAATTAGAAAGATTTGGTATGGTTCTTTGCCTGAAACAAGTCTATATATAAAACATATATATATAAAACTAATGAGAGCTTTAAAAAATATGTTAATATCTTAATAAAGCTGTTATGGAAAAAAGCCCACAAAAAAAACACCCCAAGAACTTTCACTCATTGAGGACTTAATGTGTCACACACTAGGGCAAGCATTTTATACAGATAGTACTATATTGAACTCTTATAATAACCTCTGAGGTAGGCAGTATTACCAAAATGCCTTTTACAGTTAAGGAAACCGAGACTTAAAGGGACTTAAATAACTTGTCCAAAGTCACACAGCAGAGGTGGGCTTCCCACCCAAAGGCTGTGATTCTCGAACCCGTGCTCTTAAGCACATCGGTGTGCCCTTTGCTGACTTGGACACCACAGAAAAATCAAAGCACAGGTGGGAATGGTAGTAGCCTCCTTGGGTTTGCAAAGGACGGCATGCTGGCCGTTTCTGACATGGGCACAGCAGCGTGCTCACTCTCAAGCCTGGTGGAGCAGAGCCCTGCTGTCTCTAAACATCCGAATCCTGAAGCATCCCAGCCTCCTTGTTTACGAGTCTGGCCCCTAAATCACTTCTGTGGTCTGGCATGTGTAGGGTTACACAGCGAGGCCATGAAATTGTCAGAGGCTCATGGTGGCTGGGCCATTTCTCATTTCAATTGGGTATGTTTTGATAAGATTCCTTTTCAAGTCCCTTTCTTTTGCAACATTATTCTTTGTGTGTGTGTGTGTGTGTGTGTGTGTGTGTTACTGGGTTGAAATGAAGAGAAAAACAAAGGAAGGCAAAGAAAGATTATCTCAGTTTTGAGCCATTTTGAAATGTCTAGCTCTCTGCTTCTGAAACATGCTTGGAATTTAGTGACATACTACCCTGCATTTGTGTGGCCTTTTAAAAGATATTTAATGATGTTTTAACACACACACTCTCATTTTAATCTTACAGTCACACGATGAGGTAGATAAAAAAATATCTGTATTATTAAACCCTTGTGTAGATAACCTCTACCTCAGAGAGCTTATGTGAACTCGTCCAGTGTCACCCAGCAAAGAAACAGGGTATTAGACTCTTGCCATTTTATTTCCAGTAAAGTGCTCTGTGCAAGTGCTACGGCTGCAGCTCTGAGAAAACCCACATGGGACCTAGGACTCACCCTCCATTTTCAATTCATAGAGAATCATAGTCTCCCAAATCGTCTAGCTCCAAGCCCTACTTAATCACCCGAGACATACTGCATAGTGGATAAACACAGAGGATCTGTCTCTTCTAGGTTTGTGATTTGAAAACTTTACTTACCTCCCATGTCCCACTTTCCTCATCTGTAAAATGGGTGCAATAATAGCATCTACATTTTGAGAGGGTTAATTGCATGAACAGGTGTATGGCATTGAAAATAGAGCTCTCTTAAGAGTCTGCTACTACTGTTATCCTAGAAAGAGGTTAAACTGATTCTCCGAGTGTTTTCAGGAAACTGATCTCCCAGCGACTCCAGAGAATACATTCGAGTTTTGAACAAAAACTGCAAAATTGTGTCAAGTTGTATCAAATGAATGAACACCAGGCAGCCTTACCAGGATTGCTGCATCACGTCGTTGGGCAGTAGGAAGCGGCACATGTTTGCCGTCCGGTTATTTTTGGTAAAAGGCACCAAGTTGCTGTAAATTGGGTACGGAGTCATGATGGTAAAGGAGAGGCACCAGGTAGCTGCAATCACCTTCAGAGCGTGGGATTTCGTCTGCCACACCCGGGACTGTAGGGGTTTGCAGATCGCGCCGTATCTCTCCAGAGATATGGCAACCAGATTAAAAGTGGATACACTCACAGAGGTGCCTGGGAAGGAACAAAGGAGTTGGTTCTGTAGGCTCCGCAACCCAGTTTATTTGCATATAAGCTTAAGCATATCTGATCGGCACAAGTTTGATATCAAAAGGAAATTGCTCAGAGGGTAAGGCAATTTCATGTATGTATATTTTTTAAAAATGGCTTATTCCCAGCTTTGTTCTAAGAAGGGTTTAAGAATGCGGTTAAAGAAATATGTTTGCCCATTTTCAGATAAGTATATTGAACTTGGATTACAACCTAACTTCTTCTTCCGCTGACTGTTTCACTAATAAATAACCAAGTGGGTGAAATATATTCCTACCCCACAGAGGAGACTGTGGAGTAACCCCCAGGAAAGCTCCGGTTGAGTACGATCTGCATAGTTATATTGACCTCATCACCCAGATTCTCAAGGACTGTGACCCCAAAAGGTCACTGGGGTCTGAGCTAAGGGCTTTAACACTCTTTCTGAAAATTTCTAGTACATACTGTTTTAGGAGTGAAACATTCCAAATTTAAAAGGCAGTCTGTTAGAAAAGCACACAATAAACAAGGTTGAAGGGGAAAACTCCACACTATAACTCAAGGTTTTTCTCTGGATGGGGGACCAGGGTCTTCCTTGTATTCTTCTTGCTTTGCTGTGTTTTGTGGAATGAGTGCAGCAGTGAGCAAGGGATCAAAGCATCTCATTTAAAACGAGGCACGGAGGTGTAGGCGAAAAAGCTTTGTTTTCCTTAACTTCTGTGTTCCGGGTGTGTCTGCTTATTATAGGGTCATGTCCCCTTAAGACTCCCTTTAATTTTTCATCCACAAATTCTGTCAGTTCTTCTGATTCTGACAATGATATTTTAAATCTAAGACTTCATCTGAGTTTGGGAACAGAATTTCTTAGCCTGGGGCCTTACATGAATATAAACTAATTCTCCGAGACTGTGTATAAAAATGTTTGTTTTCCAGGGAAAATATCCATAGCATCTCTTAGAGACTTAAAGAACACTGTAATCCCCAAGTCATTAAATATTGGGTTGGCCAAAAAGTTCATTTAGTTTTTTTTATATGGTGGCTCTAGTAGTGCTTAGTAGTCTTTCATTTGAAACAATTTCATTAGATTGTATTGTGACAGCTGTCCTAGCAGCATGCATTAAAAACAAACTTATAATTGGTGAATTTTTGTGCATCCACTTTACTATTGAGGATGGAAGAAAACACAACATTTTAGGCGTATTATGCTTTATTATTTCAAGAAAGGTAAAAACACAACTGCAGTGCAAAAAAAGATTTGTGCAGTGTGTGGAGAAGGTGACCGATTGAATCTGTCAAAAGTGGTTTGCAAAGTTTCTTGGTAGTACTGACACTTTGGCCAAATACTTCTTTGCTGTCAGACTGTCTTATGTACAGGAAGGTGTTCAGTAGCACCCCTGGCCTCTACCCACTAAAAGTCAATAGTGGGAGATAGCCGACATACTTAACATATCCAAATCAGTAAAATTATTGGTGAAAATGAAAAAAAAATGTGTGTTTTATTTTACAGAAAAAATGTAACAGACTTTTGGGCCAACCCAGTTAAAACTCATGCTCTGAGTCAGGATTTGCTGTATTTCCCTGGACCTAAGGAGGTAATGACATTGAGATTGGAGAACATAGCCCCTAACTCCTCAGGGTCAAGTCCATATGGTGGGTCCACAGTAATTATAAACCCACCATCAGGCAAGCATCCCTTTTTTGACTACATATTAGGAGTTTAATGAATGTTAATTGCTAGCAATGGCATTGAAAAGAACTCAAAATTAAGAACTGAAATCGCTGAAATCAGGCGTCCAACAAAACCATTACAACATTGCAAACACTTTCAGGATCATCTTTTAAATTTCCTTTCACTTATCCTGGCTTAAGATTCTTAAATAATATTATTGCAAGGTATGGAGAGACCACTCTTAAAGCCCACCGTGCTCTGAAACGCTGCTTATCATTACTGCTTCACTGTCGGCAGGGGTCCTTTTCCTTTGTAGTCTGTTTTTATTTTCAGAGGACTGCGACATAGAGTGACACTTTCTTGGTTATTTGTCTGTGGCACACAGGTCACGAATTTATCATCATTTTGTCAGTGCTGGCTCCCACTTCCTCAACGGGGAGAAATACAGGCTATTAAAGTAGCTTTCTGGTCGGGGAAGACTGGCCCAGCCCGACTCAGCCCTGGGTGTCCTGCAAGGCTCAGTCAGAACAAATACCGGTCCCTCCTGTTTCCCACGTCTCCTCCTCCCAACTAGTCCTCGGAACAGGCAGGGACAAGGCGAGTTAGCAGACAGAGGGGCCGAGGGACATGTCTTTGTTCAGCTTTGGGAGCACCGTCACAGCCAGCAGGCTGCAGAAGTGTGTTCATTCACCCCAGTGAGCCTACTGCTCCAGGTTCAAATCCCAGCTCTGCGGCTTCCCACCTGCGGGTCCTTGGGCACATTCTGAGCCTCTCTGTGCTTCTGTTCCCTCCTCAGGGAGACAGTGAAAAAAATAACTGTACTTGGGGTACTTGGTCTATAAAATAAGATCGTTGGAGTACAATCACTAAGCATAACATCAGGTGCATAAAATGTATTAAAAATATTAGCTCTTATGATTCTTATCATCATCATCATTTTCATTGGCATAATCAGAGAGCCGCATAGCCAATCAGGGTCAACTTAGGGACCCCGCCGCCCCCATGAGCAAATTTGAGTCCCCTCTCAGGGCCAAGGCCTGGCAAGTGAACCCGCAGCAGGGAGTCTAGAGCTGGCATGACCATGCTTTGCAAATAGCCCCTGTTCCCTAGGAAAGTAAGGGCAACACCAGAAAGACCCCTCCCGCACCTCCCTCACGACCCCAAAGCCATGGCTCGGGTTGGGTAGAACTTAGGATACAATCAACAGCTTTCAGAGGCGACAGAGCAGCATACAGCTGTCTTTCTCTTCTGTGGCTTCTTATCAACTTATTCCACTCCGAGAAACCGACCTCTGAAATGCACCCCTGGGGACTGGCTGCTGGGGACGGCGAGGACTGAGCTGCCCTGCAGCCAGCACCCGTGTCCCGGACCACGGCCCCGCACAGCCCGATGTTTCGTCGTCTCTCAGACTCAGCAGGGCTCCTCCGCCGAGGCTGTCGGGGTTGGGAAGGTGTGGGACTGAGTGGGGCCTGGGGTGAGCTCCGGAAATAGTCCCCTGCGGCAACTCACCCATGAAGTAGGTGGTGGTTTTACAAACGGCGCTGCTGAAGATGAAATCCTTGAGCAGGTTGGGGATGAGGTTGAAGGGCATGCAGAAGAGGCAGAGCATGAGGTCGCTGACGGCCAGGGACAGCAGGAAGATGTTGGTGACAGTCCTCATCCTCTTGTTCCGAATCAGCACTGTGATGACTAGTGTGTTGCCCAGCACGCTCAGCAGAAATATCAAGGAATACAGGAGAATCTGCACAGCTGGCTGCCACTCTGCGAAGAGGAACAGAGACAAGACAGAGGGATGGAGGTTATGAGAGCAGAATGTTAAAACGTGAAGCCAACAGCTGTTTCCTCCCGATCCCCCCACCCCCACCCACCACACAGGGGTGTAATTCTTGAAGCCAGCTATTCCTGCTCAGATAACATCCTGCAGAAACAAACTGCGGGGAGCGGTGATTCTACTGCTTCTAAAAGGTTGGTTTGTTAAAGGATCACTCAGGGAACCACTTTCTAAAGAACAAAGCTGCTCCGGTGAATAGGGTTGGCTTTCTTTCCTAGCCGCTAATCATTATTTAATCACTTCTTCATGCCGGATTTGCCCCGAGAAGAGGCGACCGCTAGATAGTGACAGCACCGTTTCTGCAACGCTCCTAAGTTGGAGCTTCCACACTTGCTCGTCCTGCCTTCTTGCTACACTCCAGGGTCTCCTCCTGCTGCTTTTGTTCCCCCAAGTCCTGGACACTGATCCCCACTCTCCTGAGGGGACCGTGAGAATATTTCACTCCATTCTGCTTGTTGATCTCTTATCAAACTTCTGAACAGACGACTTTATTCAGCCTTGTCTCACCAGGACACGGTCATATTTTCTCTATCAGCCTTGCCTTTGCTGATTTCTCCCTCCACTTAATAGTTTTCTAAAATAAAATAACAGTCTCTGACGCCTACCTTTGGATGGACGGGGCCGATCCAAGCAGAAAAGCGTCTCATTTTCGATGCCTAGTTCGCAGGGAGGAGTGAAGTTGCTTCCATTCACAAGAAGGCTGTCGACCACATCCATCCTCGCCTGCAGCTTTCCACCCAGTGCCTGCGAGCGGGCAGATTGCTCACTGTCACTCATTCCTCCAACGACCAGAGCGTCTCCCAGATGCGGCCTGCGGTGGAGGGGCGGGCAGGGAGGGGTCTCCAGGTGTGGGCATTTGCAGCCATTCCTAAATGAGACTTGAGTTCACTGCCCTCTGTCCAGCTGGGCAAGCATCTGCACTCCTGTCTTGGGAAAGGCAGCCGATGCAAGCCAAGCCTGCTCCACCTTCCAGGCCCACCCCTCCCGTCCCTGGGCCAGCGGAGGGCCCCGAGCACAGCCTGACTGTGTTAACCCTTCCCAATATGTTGCTGCTTTTACGCGCACATGCACACACACGTAGACACACACAGGCAGGGACACAGGCACGCACACTCCCCCAGTCCCTCTCGTCTCTGCGTAGGAAGCTGTGACCCTCCCAGACATAGGCAGAGTGAGGCCCTAACTGGCCGCGTGAGACAGGAACAATTAACACGGTAACAGATATGATAATGCAGACCATCAGGACTAAAGGACACAGAGGGACTGCGTTTCTACCTCCTTATATAAAAGCAATTAGTGCCTTTTTAGCCTTGGAAACGTGCCCAGCGATGTGTGTGCATCTAACTGCCAGCTGGTGGTTAAGTGTTACCAACCACGCTGTTGTTTCTCGTGGTCTCTGCCCTTGTTAACTGAAAGGAAGGGGTCCTTTCGAATGCAGGTTCCTGGGTCCTCATTACAAAAAAGGCTGCAAGATTTTTCATTCATTTAATTCATGGATTTTTTTCTGGTTGATTCATTCAGCACATATTCATTGAGAATCGATCATTTGTCAGGCATTTTTCTGGGCATGTAAGCAAATAACAAACAAGAGTATTTCAGGTAGTTAAGCACCAGGAAGGAAGGAAAGCAGGAAGATGCGATAGAGAGGGATGGGTGGAGGGTGCTAATTTATATGGAGTGGTCAGGAAAGGCCTCTTGGAGGTGGGGGCCTTGGGGACAAGGGGGAGGCCTGGGGACAAGGTCTGGGGAACGAGTCTTCTGGGCAGGAGGGATGGTATTTGGGGCAGCGGTCACGATAAGTGCAAAGGCCCTGAGGTGGGGGCAAGCTTGGCCTGTTTGAGGAAGGAATAGAAGTAGGAGTCAATGAGGGGCAAGTGGTGGGAGGTGAGGTTAGAGAGGGGGGTAGGGCCAGGGGCTGGCACGGAGTTTGAAAGCCTCTAAATGCCCATCGTGCACAGGGGCTCCTCAGTTCAGGCCTTGGGGCAAGCAGACAACGGCAGAACCCCTGTTTTTGACATCTGCTTGGCCGGGCTGTAACTGGGTCTATTCCATAGATCACTCTGGGTCCACTTATGTCCTAACAACTCTTCTATCCGGCAGAGCTACACACTCTCTCTTTGCCGGATCCCTGCTGGACACGGGTGAGCTAGGTGACAATTTCACTACCAAGGCTCAGGCGTGGGACGGGGAGACAGGGTGGCACCCTCCTCTCTTTGAAATCCCAAACTTCTGTTTGAGCCACTTAGTCATGGAAAGCAGAAGTGGAAGGAACGTTGGAGAAGGAATCGGTAGTTATCAAGGGGACAGGCTTTGCTATTACACCTGTGAGCAAATCCTGGTCTCACTGGTTACCTGCTGGGAACTGCTAGGCCAGTTTCTTAATCTCTCGATGGCTCACTTCTTTCTGTCAAACAGGGACAAAATGACTTTGAAGATATTTGTTACAGAGATCGATCACCTCAAGGCAGTGCCTGATACACAAAACATGCCCAATAAACCACAGACGATATTAACAGTCATCTAATATTACCACTATTTTATGCACAAGGAAATTGAGACTTGAGCAACCCTGCGACTTGCTGGTGGTAACCAGCTGCGGACACCCCACCCCCTCCCCTTGTGGACCCACAAGGCCATCCACACACCGCTGCCGGTGCGCGGAGCCTTCTTCATCATTGCAGCATCGTGTGGCCTGTCTGGAGCCCGGGCTCCTGTCTCTGCGCTCCGTCTCCCAGCCACCGTCCTGCTGCCTGAAACTTCCCAGTGCACAGACATGCATGGACCCCACTCAGTCCGAGGGGACGCAGGGCATGCCCTCCTGATCTGTGAGGGGGTAAACACGGGGGTGCAGCTGAATGTCACCCACTGCTGTTCCCAGTGGCTGAGTGCTTCAAGTCCTTCACCGGGGCAGCCATGGCCACTCGTAGGGGGTGACTCCTACAGAGGGTCCCCAAGCCATCAGCAGCTGCTCCGACATTTGGGAGAGTCTGCTGCTGCAGGTCCCTGAGCAGAGATGCAGAGGGCCCTGAGTCGACCTGCCCTGACCTGAAACAGCTCCGTCTGGGACAGGTTCCTTCTTTCCTCCCTCCCTGTCCCCCTGTCTCTTCCTTCCCTCCCCCCACAGTACCTAGTCTGTTATGTTGATCAGTGGGCAGGAATCCAGGGCGGAATGTAGGAGGGCAGCTCCTTGTTTTGTGAACTCACAAGGAGTGCCTGTGGCCCATTTGAGTGCTGCGCTTTGCAAACTTCAGTGCACTTCTGAGTCACCAGGTGAGTAGTTAAAGAATGCAGATTTCCAGGCCCCCCCAGAGGCCTGGCAATCTGCATTTCTATCCTGTATCCCTGGTGATTTGAAGACCAGTCATCACAGGCTCACCTTTCGGGAAGCTCCCCGGGGGTCACAAAAAGTGTGAGCACAGGCGTCAGGCTGCTGGGACCTGAGTCTGGTCTTCACCACCAGCTGTGGGGCGTGAACAAGTCACTTCGCCTTTCTGAGTGTTAGCTTGCTTATCTGCAAAATGTGCACGACAAAGCCCGGTGCTGCCTACAAGAACAGCAACACGTGAAAAGCACCGAGAGCAATTCCTGGGGCACAGCACCAGATACCAGTTGTTACTATTCATGGATTAAGATGAATTCTGGGGCTGCTGTGTTTGGGCCCTGGAGCCTCCCCTTGATTAAGGGTTTTTATCTCCAGTACCCTAGCCCAGCGTCTGGAATATAGTACGTGTTTGGAATTTATAAAGGAATACAGAGCAAAAAATTAGGAGAACCAGTACTGCATGGCTTATCATACCCTTTTGTCACTCTGTTGTGCTGGCTTTTTTCCTGGCCAAACTTGGGTTTTTTACATGGAGTTTCTGAGCCAGGGTTATCATAGATATAAACGGAAAAAGAATTCCAAGGAGGGACGTGAGAGCTTTTAAGGGAAGAGGTGATGCATTTTCTAGGGTGATAGTCCTTAGTTCATTCCTCAGCACACTTGGAATATCTTCTAAGTGCCAGGCACTGTGCCAGGTGCTGAGGATAAGCCATGAGCAAAGTCGATGGAAATTCTCAGTCCACCGTGGGAGACCGGTGATAAATGGACGGGCCAAAATGCAAGTGCCCCTCTCGCCTCAGAGCCCTATTTGCTGACTGGGCACTGTTTCAGGCAAATGGATTAGAAGTTACTAAACTGAAGTGAAAAATTGTAAGCGCCACCTCTCTCCCCGAGACACAGAGCACTGGGCCAAGCTTAAGCGCGCACGCCTCCAGTCCTCCACGCCCTGTGGGGGCCTCTTCTCTGCCCACTACTGCCCCAGACAGGCCGAACTCAAGCAATCCGAATGGGCTCCAGGCTAAGGAAATTTGAAGTTGCTCCCCAAACCATTCTCCATCTTAAGAAACTATTGTTCAAAGGCACCGAAAAGCTCTCATGATAGCATGCACATTTTTTTGAAATGAAGGAAAATAGGCAAGCACAAATACAACACAGCTTTCAGGGCTTCGCCTGACTTGCTTTTTTTAAGTTTTATTTTTCTGTTACCACTGATGTTCAGTGTACTTTGTATTAGTTTCAGGGGTACAGCATAGCAGTGAAGCGGTCCGATATTTCCAGCACTCACCTGGCACCGCACACAGTGAACACAGCGTTACTGACTACGTTCCCTGTGCCGTACTTTGCATCCCCCCTGACAGTGTATAACTGCCAGTCTGTACTTTTTAGTCCTTTCACCTTTTCACCCAGCCCTGCAGGCTCCTCCTCTCAGCTAGCATCCATCAGTCTGTTCTCTGTATCTGTGAGTCTATTTCAATTTAGGGTTTTTTTCTCTATTTTTTTTCTTTAGATTTCACATACATCTGAAGTCATGTGGTACTTGTCTTTCTCTGTCTGGCTTATTTCACTCAGCATAATTGTCTCTGGGTCCATCCTGACTGCCTGTGACTTACTTATTCTTACCACGGCGCTGCTTTTAGAGAAATGCGGTCCAGAAGGCAGAGGTAGTTAACAGGAAATTGCATATGCAGGGCAGCCTGACATTTTAAAAAACTCTCCTCGGCAATGCGCCCCCTCGGCAGCTCAGTGACATACTATGTCTCTCTCTCAGTTCCTTATTCCTCATTCTCGTCCCAGACTGTGGTTTGCTAGCCTTTCTCTCTTTTCCTTCCTCTAACCATCTCAGACCTTTGGAAGTGGCCTTCGCCGCCTCCTTATCCTGCCCGCAGCACACTGGGCTACTCTGGAGCAGGCCATGCCGCGGTTCTGGGGTGCCCTGTCCCCCACAGAGGCCTGTGTGTGGCTGCCCCTGGAGCTCTTCTCCCACTGGCTGCCCTTTTTGGAGAAATTATAATGGATCATTTCTGATGAATGAAAAACTCCTTGCTAAGAAGGAAAGCAAGCTCCCTGTCTGCCAGAGAAGGCTGTCACTCAGCAAGCCACAGCTCCTTGTGGCTTGCTAAGTGAGTCGAGCAAGTAGCTTTGACTCTTTCTGTCTCCGGTTCCTCACCTGGAAAATAGCTGAGCAGAGGTAACCCCCACCTGTGGGGGCTGCTGGGACAGCACATGGCACAACGTGTGTGAAGCACCCAGCAGAGGTTTAGCATGTCGGAAGGGCTCGGTGGGCAATGGGGATGATTATGACGACGATTTACCTTGTTTCATGTTGATAAGAACGTTAAAATCATCCTCAAAACCACTGCTTTAAAATAGTGTTTATTAATGGTTTGGGGAACATTCTGCTAGCCTTTCC